ATACCCTAAAACCCCAAGAATGGCACCACTGCCTTGATCGGGGGTACACGTTCCCCGTTTTTTCCACCTGCTGGTTTTTAGGGGTTTTCGTGTCCGGCTTCGGTGCATTTAGTTCACTTCAATTGTAATAGCGGACTGCTGTTAGCATATCGATTTGGCGTTACATAAACGGTGGCTTGGCTGGCCAACCCGCCCAGATATCAACTCTTTGTCTGTCCGGTTGAGTAGTGAAGGCAAACTCGATACTTTGAGTTATTCAACATAATGATGGAAATTAAGAAGGAACGGTGGATTGGCAGAATGGCGGAATATCTTAAGAAGCAGAATAACGGAATATCCTAAAACAAACGTCTCAAAAAATAAAATTGCAACAAAATAATAATAAAAAAAATACTTCCAGTTAACAGGCGAAATTGAAAGAGGCATTAGGTAATCATCGTTGGAGCCCAGAGGATACGGGAACGGAGCCATGAGGCTTTTGAGCTAGTCCCTTAAAATTATTATCATATTACTATTATAATCATTGTTATCACTGTAATTATCATTTTTATTTGCTAACATACCATTATTGGTTGAATCTCATGCAGACAATATATTCTTGAGTCATCTTTCTCTTGTGGGACAGGGTACTCATAAATATGTGGGATGCAGCAGGATTTCTGTTTTGCGCGCGAAACAAATATTTTGCAACACTACCTTCTAGTGTCATTATACAACCGCTACTTCTTTTCAATGCTACAAACGTTGTGCTATATCAGTAGCCACATGTAGTCTATGCATTCGTGACAGTGTTTCTCAGCTTCCACATCCCTGTATATTCATTAATTTATTTTTAGTATTTTGCAAATAACTCAACACTATCTTTATTCCATAGAAGGTCAGCACACACAGGCATCCTCCAGTACAGACTCTACAGACCAGTCCACTTTTTTGGAACCTTCTGAAGAAAGTAGGAATACACCTTGTGTATACAGTTCATAAATCTCACATGACTAGGTCCAGGCATGTATTGGACTTAGTTTAGAGGGAAATGAGTTGTTAGTTAAAATCAAGGATAGAGTTGGTAATTGTGTTAGAGTGAATCTTTCATGATGGTAGATGCTTATATTTATTAATCTTAACAATGAACAGGAGATTCTAGTACTAAATGTAAAAAAAGATGGAGTTTGGAATGGATAAATGGACCTGTTGAAATGAAAAATATAAGTCACCGTGCTCGTTCAAGAGCTTTTAAAAGACCATCGCAACTCTTTGGTGATAAAAAAAAAAAAAAATCGTGCTCTCGCAATGTGCATTTGCCTATTCGCCTTCTTACGTGATTTTTATGTACTGTAAAGGATGCGCAATGCAATACTGAGGAATCACCTTAAGGCGAAACATTGGGAAAACTACAGAAGCTCAAGGCTTCAATCAAATAATCCATTTAATCAACATGATACTGAAGAACAACTTTATTTTAGAGTTGAGATAGCTGACAAAGGGAATTCTGCCGCCAATGGGCCAAAACCTATCGGTCTATGAGAGATAGTTGTAAGCACTATGGGAAAGACTTTTTTCTTCTGGTCCCATATTATCCCTTAAACCCCCCCCCCCAAAAAAAAAAATTGTTTTCCATGATACCACGCACTGTTTATGTTTACGTGTACTCACCTACTTGTTTACTTGTGACTATTTGTTTTTTTATTTGAAACCACAAACCTGAAGCAGGGACCTGTTAGCGAGAAAGACCTTTTTAATATTTCCCGTCAAGTTATAGAAAAACGTAAAAAATTAGGTAGAGCCCTTGAGTTAAAAGACGTGGATTTAGGAACAATAGTGGAAAAACATTTGCAGGACACACCTGAGCAGTCCCACCAGATACTTCTGAAATGGAAGAGGTCAAAGGGGAATAAGGAAGCCACTTACTATGCCCTAGCACTAGCTTCGTATGATCGCACTGTCATGATGGACATGATGCCCTAGCACTAGCTTCGTATGATCGCACTGTCATGATGGACAATGTTGTAAAAGACAAATGTCTTTCGTCAGCTAGCTTTTAAGCCCACATGGTGAATCAGAACATGACTTCATACTTGTAACAATCAGTCATCCTTAATAAGGTTATCATTTAGTTTCCTTTTATAGCCCTCAGTGCATGTGTCGTAGTAGGGCGAGTTAACAATATGAAGCGCGCGATCTTTTCTTGGACCGGCCATGTTTAATTTGGAGTTATAGTCGACGGTAGGGGGAGGGGGCGTGAAGGGGCGAATGACTCCCCACTCTCACCCACTCCTTATATTTTCACTGTGGCCTACCCTCTTGGTACAAATTTCTTTCTCTCCCCAGCCTTCCGCTTTCATTAAAATCAAACATGACGGCCAGAATTTTGTATAGAAAATACTGAGCACTCGCTCGCCAAAATTACGCCTGCTCTGCAACTGAGCTGTTTCCTTCATTACGTCATAATAAGCTGATTTTGGAAATATTTTCGATATTGCTCATATTTCTGGATGAGGGAAAACACTCAGTGACAAAAAGTTTATCTAAGTAATTCTGACAAAGAGGCTTTTCTTTGTGGGTCAGATCTGTAAGTTAGTTGGCTTACTGTAATTTGAGAAACAAAACGAAACGAAATATGAATCTGTAATTTGCAAAGGGAAATGTTCCACTACGGAAGTGAACAGGCGGTGTGCGCAATGCGATTGCATTGCATTGTGGTAGCGTTATTTTCAGTATGGCGGTAAAAATCGGCAGATTTTGACTGAACATTCCGTAAAAGTTAGGCCGTTCCTTTTTCCTTTCACTGAAGGTAAATATAATTTGATATATTCTGAATATGTAGAAGTATTTTTCATATGTATTTGTTGGGTATTCTATCGAAAACTAAGACCCCGAAAACTAAGACCCCGAAAACTAAGACCCCCCGTCTTTTCATTGATTTTCACTTTTCCGGTGGGTCTTAGTTTTCGTAATTACGAAACCTCATTACGAAAACTAAGACCCCATCTCATTTTTCTTTATATCTATCAATTTTTTGAAGGTGAGCGGGAGAGTTCATATATCATCTTGATTTGTTGCTTTTTCGGTTGGATCGAAGAGCCTGGTTGCTTTAAGATTAAGTGGGATTTCCTGTAACCTTTCCTTGTGTTTCGAAGTATTTTCTCGCGCGACGGGATATTCATTATTTTCCTCCAAGACACTGAGCTATTTTTAATCGTTCTACAGGATGCAAAATTAATGCAACTAGAGGAAATTTTTTTAAATGGAACAGTTCAGACTTAATCAGGGTTTGCCCACTATATGAGTAGTGTCGTTTGTTGTAAAACGGAAAACGTTTTTTTATCACATTTCAGGTAGGATCTTAGTTTTCGAAAAAAATATTGTTGCAAGTTGCATGCACGACTTTTACGTGTAACATCCCTTCATGGAACTGAATCTTTTTTTTAAGTCGCACGAAGAGTTGAATCGTTTTCTACTTTCTGCAACAATTTTTTCAAGCTGCACAACAAAAATGCTTGTAGTATGGCTCTTGCAACTTGTTTTGCCGCACCCTGTAGTCGACATATGCGTCATTTTCAACTTACGCAATTTTTGTCGCGAGACYAGTTGCATGGTATTTGTAACGTGTAACATGGTACGTGCAACTTGCAACAAATTTTGTTGCGAGACAAGTTGCAGGAAATATTGTTACGTGTAACAGCAGCTTAACGACCGTATAAAGTGTGCAAACCCTGATTAATTCTGAACTGTTCCATTTGAAAAATTTCCTCAGGTTTCACTATTTTTGCATCTTGTTGAATGACCCAAAACAATAGAGCAGCGGTGTAAATGGTGAGTAGCCTCTGTGACCCCTCCTTGGAGAAATCCTGGCTACGCCCCTGTTAACTCCGAAGTGCAAATTCACCTTGTCTCCAACTCCGAGGTGCCGTTGATAAAGAAACTCTGGCAATGTTCCGTGCTTCGCCATTGTTGTTCCTTGCCGCACTGTCTTTGTCTTACTGCTGCGCCATATGCTGAGGCCTAGTTTCGTAAGATGTCGCAGTCATTTGAAGGAAGGTTTACTGCGGGTAGAGGAATCATCAACGGTACACTATCAAGAGACAGCTTTGTGTCGGGCTTTGGGTACCAGGACTTTCGACTGGTGTGATAATATGCAGCCCAGCTTGTAGCACGTTTCGCGCTCTCTTTTATAGTTGCACCAAATGACCTAGCATACTCAAGCAGACATGTTCACTTTCTTAGAATGGACAGTGGCGTGACAATTTTCAACGTCTAATGTCATACAGCTTTAAAGATCAAGCGCTTGGTAGTCATACTCTCTTAGAATGTCTGCTAGTCTTCGTAGGCCCCATTCCATAAACTCAACAGAGTTAATTGTTTTTG